GCAAGGAATATAAAACACATGTACATTTTATTGTACCTTTATACGCATATATGGATACGTTCAGATACGCGTACACATGCGCCTATTGGCCCATTTGCATAAACTACGCATGCAATTTGAAGGTGAAGAGGCAAAAATAGTTTTTTCACCAAGGCGCGTACGTAGATTGTGAAAAAAAAGGCACATGTACTTTTACGCCGATGAACACGGGCACTGTGGCGCGGGGAAAAGAAAAGAAAAAAAAAAGTGAAAGTATCCGCAAAATGAACGGTGCCAACCGGGAGGCAAACAAACCGCAGAGCTGGCAACTGCAAAAGTGTCAATGGCAAAGTTGCGCCCCTTCGTTGGTACGGAACCGCAGTTTAAGCCCGTCCCGCCGCTTGCACAGTGGAACGCAGCGCACGAGAAGCAGCGGATACGCTTAATCTCTATGAAATTATCCCCTTCGAAAGTAGCAATCGATCTAATCACCCCTGGCAAGTGCGAACCAGTCAGCTGTTACCATAGAACACGAGCGTACGTGCGCATATGTATGTATGTAAGAAGGGAATGCTTATGTGTATGACAAATGGACTGCCTCACAGGTGCTTAAAAAGGTGTCCATTCGGTTGCAAACAAGCAGGAGAGCATCATTACGCGTTTTTTATTGTTTTAGGCGTCTTCTGCACTTGTCGTGGGGAACAGACAATGGGTAGGGCCCACGTGAGCGTGCAGCATGAACACTTTTATATAACACTGCCATGTACACAATGTTTGAATATGCGCGTGAAAGCCGCTATGCCCCACTGCACGATATTTCTATTCGGGCAGAATGCGGGAATATTAAAATGTACCGTGTGTGTTTGGCAATGTTGCTATTGCTCTATGGTACGAAAAATTATACACAAAAAAAAAAAAAAAAAAATACTTCTGTGTAAAGAAGCAAAAAAAAAAATAAACGCAGAAGAAAATGATAAAATTTTCTGCTTAACGGCTTGGCAACGTAGATGAAAGGAAGAGGGGAGTTCTTTTTTTTTTCTTTTTTCGTGTCTCCGCTTGCCGCAACGAAGGTGTTGTATGTAAATATAGACGTATATGTATACGTATATATGTTTATATGTGCGTGCGAATGAATGAGCCCACGGAAAAACACGAACATAAAAGTACATACACCTACGTGCGCCGTTGGTCGCAGAGTGATATATATGCCGGGGCTTGTATTGCCTCAGAATGGGGTTGTTCAATGTCGCGAGGGAATATATACATATAATGGTCATGCGAAATCGTTAAGAAACGAAATACTCATGCAGAGGTAATCAACAAACAATTTTCTTTCAATCTGGTATTCAAATTGATCACATAGGTTGGATGGCATAAAAATATTCTTAAGTCCAGGAACATCTTATATTACAACAAATGCTTCCTGGTTTTTTTGCAGCATTTTTGCAAAATGTGAAAATGTTAAAAAAAAAAAAGAGGGAGGGATTTATTCATGCAGAATTGCATCGATTTTGTGTTTTTTTTTGTTTTTTTCTGTTTTTTCTTTTATCGAAATGTTGATGTTTCTTTCGTTGCAGCTACCTTGGTGAAGATTAAGAAATTTTTTACGATTATTCAGTTTGCCAACTTTGAGGTTTGTTAGTCTGCTTTGGTTCAACCTGCTCCCTTTTGTCAATCCCTCTTTGCGTAGAATTTTTCTGTACAGCTATTCATTCTGTTATCGCGGGGCGACTAAATATATGGACGCAGGTTGGGGGGGCGAGCCGAATTGGCATGCACTCGGGCGCGCATAGGTTCGTGGTATATGTACATTTGGAGGTAAATCTATGTGTACATATGTACATATAATCCTTATCCGCTCGTTTGTTTCTTTGTTCTTTTTTTTTTTTTTTCGCGCATTTGCTTCTATTCGCATCAATTCGATCTTGCGCGGTTCACATTTCGCGACTGCGAAAAAGAAAATGGCTTTCTGCCGTTGGCCACATTGGTACTTCAACGCTGACCAAAAGAAAATATTCTTTTTTTTCTTTTTTTTTTCTTTTGACATGCGGGAGGGGAAGCAAGTCAATATATATGATCGAAAAAATTTGGTTACTTGTTTAACAGAATAATTCTTTGACCGCGCATTTTTGCCATTTCAGGTGTTACATATAATTGCATATATAGGTATAGTACATTTATTTTGTTGAGGTATATATTTCGCGGCAAGCCAGCTAGTCGGCTGTTCATATGTCGTGCGGCACTGCTGCATCGTATATCTCGGATACTCCCTCGCAGGACGGCGCCCCCTGCACGATCGGCATATACAAATATATTTACGTATGTGCGTAGTTATACTTGTACCTGCGCGCATGTGAAGGCTGCTAAATCTATAGATGTATATTTGTATACCTACCTATCCGCGCGGTGCAAACCTTTTGTGCAACTTTTGCAAGCGTGGTTTCTCGTCCGCCCCCAATTGTTTATCTACCAATTTGAAGAAGAAAAAAAATGGTTTCGCCAACAACACCAGCGACAAGCACAATTAGTATGTTGTTCGCGCGGAAAGAAAATTCTCTGTGATTGGTTCTACCTTCAGCACGATGTAGTATATGCTATCATACGGATAGCCGCATGGTGAAACTGTTTTGTATTTTGTCACACAACTGAGGTGAATTTTTTTTTTGCTCCACGGTTTTAACGTGCCCAATTAACAATGGGAATTACTTCTAACTTTTGATTGTATCAATGCGCTGTTATGTAAGACCTCATAGGGTTCGCTTTTTCTATATGAAAGTGTTCGGAGCGGAATAGGAACAGGATCCATAATAATTTTGAGCATCCTGGTTAATCTTAAAATGTGTTAGGCTTGAGCCAAGTGGTACATATTTGGCTGGCTCTCCTATGGTGTGGCCACAAACTTCTGATAATCTCTCACGGGGAAAAGTGAGAAGAACTGGGAAGAAACGAAGCAAGCCTAAACAAGAGTGACACATTCGGTTAGCATCCTTTGTCTGGCACGGTGGGTCCACATGGCATGCACACACAGTTGTGTATCGGTCCCGCTTTTTATACATCCGCATTTTTGTGACCTTTTTCATTTGAGAAAAAAGGGCCTGTAGGCGCTCCCCTCTTGGTACGCCCAATTCGTCGATGTAAAAAGGCTCTACGAAAGTTCGGACCGACGCGGGGGTTGCTTAAGTGATCATGCAGTTCGAACGGGAAGATATAAATGAGCGGCAGATATGGGTCCCTTGTTTGCGTAAGGCAAACTGCTTACACCAGTGGACGTGCTTCAAGCAAAAAAAAAGAAAAAAAAACGGAACAGTGGAACGGCAATAGGAAGAAATGAAATATTCTCATCCCAATTTATTTTCTTCTTTAAAGTAACATACGTGAGAAAAAAAAAGGGAGAAAATTTACAAACTGAAATATTTGTAAAAACAAAAAAAACGGCCAGGTTAGCCAGACCAACTGTGGGGGTTTCAACCTGTCAGGTTACTTAAAAAAATTGTAGTTCCCCAAATGGGTGTACGAAATGGTCATCTTATTTAGCCGTCACCAAGGTGGAACAGTTAAGAGGGAATTACAAAAATCCTGGCTTCACCCCGCACCTGCATAGGCCAGAGGTATGTGTGGGCGTGCAGTCCATCGCCAGCATCCCATCGCGCGTACATATGGCATATTGGCATAAAAATTGCCGAAGGAGAAAGTACATGCTATTGGGAACACACATAGTTGCATAGCTAGTAGCTCATAGATGAAATCTCATAGCTGCTCGCGGCGCATTTGCGGGATTTCCACTGTTTCGCGGTTTGAATTTTTGTGCGAACATACAGAGTTGTAGTTGAACGAGGAAGGGAATCCTCACCATGCCGACAAAAAAATTGTGCCCCCCTTATTTACATGCACATGCATCAATTTGTGCGGTATGTATTTCCCCCGTTTTGATAATCCACTTTGTGAAAGGCCCAAGGCTTTGTCGCCTCAACGCGCTTCATTATGCGTCATAATGTGGCCCCCCTGAACTTGCCTTCCCCAATTTGGCGCCCCCATTTTAATTTTTCCCTTCCGTTTATGCATTAATGGGATTAAACATCGAGGGTAAATGCCAGGAAATTAATGCGTGTCAATTGCATGGCCGGGACGCTACATAAAGCCGTGCTGTTAAACACATTCGAAAGAGGATTGATGAATCTGGAGTAAAGCTAATCGTTATCTGATAAGAATAGCTTTTCGCTGGACCCAGGCGGTCTCCTACTAGATTCCTCTTTCTTTCTTTTCTGTTTTTTTATTTTTTTTTTTTTTTCCGTACAAATTGAGAGTTTTTAAAAATTTGTGTATACCTGACCACGCAGGTGTGAATGTATTGCGGGGATCACCGAGCGCTTAACGTTGGGTTATTCCGTGCTATTTTGCTTCGCTTCGTTTTACTTTATTTTGTTTTCCGTTTCTTTTTTATCGTGGTAAAGCTTCGCTGGTACCCTTGCTGTTTGGAGGTCCCACACGTATATTCGCAGCAGATTTTGCCCGCTCTGTTGCTGCCCATTTGTTTTGTCCTCCGCCAGGTGAACGACCCAACGTCTTGCAGGAGGGAATCCACGATAGGAGAGGTTGCCCGAAGGGCACATTCCCTTAACAGATAAATTGTACCCATCGGGCCATAAACACATTCTCGTAGAGCTCATTCTTGATAAAGGCAAAAAAAAAAAAAAAAAAAATTCTTAAAAGGGGAAAGGTGGCCATATTCACGTGAATGTATTATGATGCCCCGACGAAGAGGTCTGCATCACACCCAGTCACTCCGCATGCACCTGTCTAGAAATTTCGGTCGGAAAAATTTCACTAGAAAACCCTCTAGTAGAAAATCCCCCAGCAGAAGAGAAGCCCCCCGCAGTAGAGAATCCTCCATTTAGTGACCGAAAGATGTAAGCCATGAATATTATTAACTACCTTTACAATAAGAGCAAGAGCATATACAACCGAAACATTAGTGCGTACAATTACAACAATATAGAGAATGAAAATCTGATTAGTAATTTTGTCGACATCAGTAATGGGTACAGCAACCATAGCTGCTCGTCCAAGTCATCCTCGCGGACGTTGATTCTGGGTGAGAGGAATGTGCGCACGGGGCGCAAGAAGAAAGGCTGGGAGGAGCGTCCCGCCGGGGTGAGAGCGATTGGGCCGGCAGCGACAACTTCTCCCACGACTGGCCCGCAGAGTGTGATGACAGCGCACAGGGACGGGATGGACAAGGGGGAAAACATCGCCAGCAGGAAAGACGACCAGGGGAAGAAGAACCAAAATTACGAATTTAACGTTCACAATATCGGTTTCGACGCAAAGGTATACAAAAACAGATGTGATGGTGTCTGTGTCATCAATGACAACATATACATTTTCGATAAAATAAAAAAATGTATATATTTGTATACCCCATATAATAACGTGTGGTACATATTTCTGAACATATGTGAAGAACTGTCCGTGAATAAAAATGAGGACTTGGAGTTGACCAATTTTTATCTGAACAGACCGGAAGAAACTATGGAAGGAAGCTTCAATCACCTGAGCAATATTTCTTTTATGAATTACACAGATGTGGTTTACCTGAATGGTTGTATTTTTATAATCAGTAGTAACTGTCATTTTATGAATTTCTGTAAAGTGAATATGCTAAATATGAATACTCTGTTTGGTACCATTGTGGTAGAATCCGCGCAGAATAACTTCTCTGATTTTGCGCATCTGTTGCGGATGTTGAGGGGGGGTGAGACGGAGCGCAGGGAGCAGGGGAATGCTCATGACGATGAGATTGACCCCATGGGGGAGTCCTCCAGTTGTGATGCCAAGGCGGGCGAGTCCTCTCCCCTGCAAGGAGCGGAAAGCGGGCAGAAGGGGACGAAATGTAACGTTTCATGTGTGGAGCAAACAATCCGTAGTGATGAAGCGGGTCTTGTGGAGCGGGCACACATCCAAGATGGCCCCCATGAAAGTAGCGATCGTCACCGTCAAAGCAGAGATGGAGACTGTCGGCGCATCGATGGCGATCCCCAAAGCCGACGCAGTTGTGGCAGCCATGATAGCCACTGCGACGAGTACGTCAGCGGAATTTGCGAATTTTCCCGATTTTCCGAATTTTCCGAACTTTCCGAGCTTTCTGAGCTTTCCGAATTGTGCGAATTTTCTGAGCTGTTTCCGAACGAAGAGAAAAATCTTTTTAAAAAAATGAAGAGGTTGATAAAGGCTCGAGATTTCTTCTCCATCTGCAGTGTCAACGAGAGCTGTTACTCCTTGATTTACCTTTTTGGGGGTAAAGGAAGCACCGTCAAAAGGGCCAATGAATATGTGGACATCATTTACAACGATCTGTACGTTTACGATTTTTGCCGAAACCGGTGGATGGAGTTGTACCAGTACAGGAATGACGGCGGGGGGGGTGCTCATGGGGAGGGGGAAAACGGAGAGCACACGTGTCAGGATAATTCTCTTTTACGTACCCACTTACACGAGTCCATCGCGAAGAAAAGCCATAACGACAACATTTTCTATTTTAAACCGGGTGATACTGTTTCCCCCGCTGGTATACAGAACGATCGTGCGCCTGAAAACGACACCAGAAAGGCAGAAGAATGTTTTAACGACAGTTTTTTCCTACTGAACTCTAATGATGCGTTTAGCAATGATAACACGACACAGTCGGGTAAGGTTAAGATGTACGGGGGAGCGGTAAATCCGATGGACAGCCTGCACTGCAATGTAGGCACGGTTGATAGCATAGCCACTGTTGCTACGTCCACTGCGGAGAGGCATATCGACTCCTTTGGCCATGCCAAGGGGGAATCTTCTGATAGGCATCGGTTCAGTGGGGACGGAAAGGAAGTTGCAAAGAAAGAGCAGAAAGAGGAGGAACAGGAGGAACACGCGGAAGACACTTGTTCAGATCTGTACAGCCTCATTTTTGACACTCGTGAAGAAGCCACGGATGAGAAAGCTAAAAATGCAGAGTGCGAAGGTGCAGAGTGTGAAGGTCTGCACCGTCAGAGCACACCCGTGAAGGAGGGCCCCCAACAGACACGCACGAACTTCTACCACGAGCGTAATGACCCCCCCTGTAAAGATTGCGTCCAGGGGAAGAAATGCACATATATCTGCGACCTAATAGCGAACGGAGTGAAGATAAGAAGCCTCCACTGGCTTGGAAAAAGAGCAGGGCATTCCTGCACGTATTATAAAAACAACCTGTATATATTTGGAGGCATCAGTTACTACAGCTTTAATAGGAACAAAATAAACCTGAAATTTTGCGACAATCTATTTTTGTACAATATCCAATCCAATAAGTGTTTCGAAGTCATGGCGAAAGGAAGCATACCGGAGAAGAGATACCGACATGGATGTGTCATCATTAATGATTATATGTTCGTAATTGGTGGAGAATGCAAAAGTTCCTCTTTACCAAGGAACGATTTATTTTTTTACAATTTTAAAACCTCTGTGTGGACAGAAGTTGTTATTAACTCCAAGGTGGGCTCTCACTCGCTGTACAAAACGGTGTGGCTGGAAAACTTCGGTTCCATATACATGTTCGGCTCGTCCATTCTGCGCCTCACGAAGAAGAATTTCCAGTACACTCCCTCGTACAAGAATAACCAGAAGAGGGTGGAGAACCGGCGCTTCTGAGGGGGGGCGCCGGCACACGCACTCCTTGGGCAGCGTTTGGCTGCGTCTGTCACCGTTTGTCATCGTATGTGTGCCCTCTGCTTTGTTTAGTCTCTACGCCTGTTTATGAGGAGCATGCCAGGAATGCATGCGAGGCGGTACAACCGTTACAGCTACTTGAGCCCATTTATATGCCCATCGGTGGCTTTTTGTTTGCCCCCCCCTTCTCCTTGTCACCGAAGCAGCTCCTTTTAATGTTTCTCCCCCAAAAAATCCGCGCGCAAGGGGGATGCCACATGTTTTAATGATTTGCAGACAAGAGTACATGCGTACACATGTGCGTTGTGTGTTACTGTCTTTTTCGTAATTCTGCACTGCGCAGCGTTTTAATGGAGGCTTCATCTTCGTCCTCTTCATCCTGTCCATCCCCCTAGATTCTTGTCTTTTTCTTTCCCTCTTTTATCCACGCGCGTCAACAATTTTTATTGTTCCATTCCCCGTCCGTTGTAAATGCGGCGTTTTCTTTTAAACATGCAGGAGTTTCCCCGTGCCACATTAACAGACGTAGCCGCGTTTTCCCCCTTTTTTTTTCTGAATGTTCATGCTCTTATCACTCTGTTGCCCTGCTGACTTAACCATCACACTCTACAGTGTGTAGAGCATTTCAATGTTGGATTAAAAATGATGTTAATTTTTTTTTAACAAAGTTAATTTGGTGGGGGAGGAAAAATCATTCCCGCTGTGCGCATTCGCGATGGATTAGCGTTTTATCCTTCTCCCGTTTCGTTCCATTTTAAGCCTCTCTTATGGCGATGTGAGGGGAGACCACGTTTGGGACGCCATGACACCTTGGCTATGACGATGTTCTATTTTAACTGCCCATTCACGTGGCAACCGGTTCCTGACCCAGCACAGGTGAAATTGCGACAAGGTTTCACAATGAGGTGTACGAAAAAAATTACGAAAAAATTGACGTATCTCGTGGGGTGTTAAAATGGGATGCAAAGAGGGGTCAGAAGAGGAGAAGCGTAAGACGGTCATCACCACCACCCCCCTTTGGTGAAAAAATTTGGTCAATATGAAGAACTGACGTTTTCATAAAAACAGGAGAGGAATACACACTCTGTGTGTATGTCATTACCACATGAGTGACGCCACTGAGCAGTTTGCTCTCGAGGAGTATAGACAGCATGGATGAGTACCACTGGCCATGCGTGGTGCCTGCTCATAAACAAACGAGAAGGGCTCCATCGCTGTGAAATTGGCTTCTTATCTTTCTTGAGTAATCTCCCCCAATAAGGGAGGGACATAAGACATGGCAGAGGTAGACCACCCCGCGTTTAGCATAGCTGTGGAACGGTGCCATCTTACATCATAAAACAAAGTTCATCACAGACGTTGCCACTTCCTAGAGGCTAAGTTTACTTCTTCCCCTCGTGCATCCTAATCGTGCAAGCGTCGATTTCATTTTTGAAGGTGAACCAGTCGATGGAGTCCTCCTTCGGTTTGGTTTTCTTAAAAAAGGAAAAGAAATTCGTATCGCTCTCTTGCCTCTCATCTTTATCCCCTTTTCTTTTCCACCCAATAAAGGTCTTTAATATATCCTGCGCAGTTATGTATTCTTTTCCTTCTGAGAAGCAGAAGAAACAGGATTTCAGCAAATTTTCGTTAATTTCTTGCCGCTCTATGTAATTTTCCACTTTGCTTCGTATCAGTGGTGAGTCTACATTTCTACTTAACCCTTTTTCAAACAGGAAGATATTATATGTTGGGAAGAGGGAATCTCTTGGCCATTTAAATTTTAGTACTAATAAGTATTTTTTAAAATCTGAGAAATTCATTTTCCCCTGTTGTGAGAAATGCCTATACCAGTATGCTCTTTTGTGATCTTCATAAAAATTTTTAAATTTAAAGATGGCGACAAGTTTATGTGTCCAGGAGTTATTCCTTCTTGTCTGACGACGTTTCCCATCTAGGTCATTAAGTGTTTTGTTTTCCTTTACGCCCACGTCAAGGGCAATGTTGAGCGAGTCATACTTTCCATGCTCAGCAAACCTCCCGAAGACCTTCACCAAATCGAGTACCTCATAATTTAAAATTGGATTGTATGTGTTGTAAACAGGCTCGTTATTGTAATATTTGGAATATACCGCATTGCCATTTTTCAAGTAATTAATTTTTCTCCGATGTATGTGAAAGAGCGGTTGCTTTATGTAGGCAGGATGTGGGTTGTTTCTTTTCTGGTGCCACACATTGGAGGAGGGACACTTGTTGAAGTAGAGAATAGTTTCGTTAAGTTTGGAATGCAGGTGGCTCATCTTCCTTGAGTTCACTAGTACGGTGCCTTTCTTCGAGGCAACGATCAATAGGATGAGCAGCTGCACTTGCCTTAACATGTTCGGATGTGTGTGCGGGGTGTAAGCGGTATGTCCGGTATGTGTGGTGTCTGTGAGGGGGATAGGCCGCTCTGCAGCCGTGCGCTTAGTTCGGTGTCAGTGCGAGCGCGTCTACCAACGTACTGCTCCATGCGAAGCGCGCCGAAGCGGTGTGGTATATATGTAAACATACTTAAGCAGACGTGTGTGTCTGAGCAAATTTCTAACCGCAACTCCGATGGGGCTTTGCTCAGCACACCTCTCCCTCTTGAGGAATATGTGTAAAGGGCCGTCCGTCACGCCTAGCTGTTCGCATGGGCGGAGGTAAGCTGCTTAGCGCACATTTGTTCCTTCCTCAGGATGGAAGCAGGAATAAGCTGGTGGCAAATAAACAATATGAAATAAGCAATGAACAAATTTATATACATGGAAACCGCTTCACATCGAACGTGTGTGCCTGAAGTCGGCTGCCTTTTGGTCGCGCCTCCTTAAGAACGCACAACGATTGGGAGAACCAACAACTGCGTTGTTGCGCTTGCTTACGCGAAGAAAGAGGGAGACGTAAAATTCACGCGACGAGCATGCGGCAGTTTCGAAGCGGCATGGCTTCTTAACCCCTCGCTTGGCTCGTTAGCAGTTAGGTACGCTGCTATCTTCGCCGCTCCTTTCGCTGCACCCTTTGTTGGATCGCCCGCTGGTCAACCTATCTGCTAACAAATTCGTTGTGCCCTTCCGCTTTCTCATCACCTTTTCCGTCTCGCCTGGTAACAGAAACTACGGCCAGGATGCACTATCGCGTGCGGGGTATTTACAAAAGTAAAAGTGAAAAAAAGGAAGAGATGCCCTTTTTGCTTCTTCTAACATACACATGCTGGAAATGCGCTTAACAAGCTGAATCGTTTTTTTTTTTTATCCGTTCTAATTAGAACTTCGCAGAACTGTCAAGAATTGGCAGTAGCGTCGTGCATATATATCTTATGCATGCACATTGGCTCACGAGTTGGCACCGCGTTGATGTTAACGCCCTTCGACCATATGGGAAAACCCTTGCAACTCTGTTGGGGATACCGGTGAAATTTTAAATTGGTTTTTCATTTCCATTTCTATTTTTCCTCCTTTTTTGTTGATTCTCCTTTTTTATGTAAATATTTGTCAAGGGAAATGGTTTATCAGAATATGCATTTAGGGTAGAAAAAAAAAGCATGAGCAAAAAAGAAAGCACTTAACAAGTTTTCTTTCTTTTTTCCCTCGATTGTATATCAAATGCTTTGTCTTACAAATTGTGAAACTGGTACAAAACAGAAGTGAGAAAGGTATGAAACATCATGTAAGCATTTTTGATCTCATTTTTTTAGAGGTATAGTGCTACCCCGTTGTCTCATTCTGTATGCCTCTTCCCTTGACAACAAAATGACTCCACGTTTTGAATCACTTCGGGGAGTTTTCACCTAGCACAGGAGATGGGCGCATATTCCGCAAAAAAGGTACACTGGAATTTTTCCCCCATAGGGTCATTTTATTTTATTCCGCTGGCACTGTTGAGGAAGTGTATGGTTTAACTGTTATGCGAACGCCCTTTCGTTTTTTCATTTTTGCGCACACAATGTTATCTTTTTTTTTTTTTTCCTCACCCCGGGGCCCACAGATATGTGCGGCAACTTTTGTAAATGTGAGGTAATTGTTGTAAACATGCGTCATTTCGCATGAAAAAACACCGATTTGGAATTCAACATATAACACTTCAGGCATTATACACGTTCATGAAAATCGCAAAGCAATAAGACTTTTGCCAACTGGCTTGCGCCACAAAATTGGAGAACGCGCTAACATGGCCAAGTAGACCACTTGTTGGTCCTGGTATTACATAAGGGTAATAACCCCACTCTACACCTCGTTCTTTTCTTTTTTCAATTTGGTCGACTTTCAGCTTTGTCTGCAAAATGGGAAGGCAAACCAAACGCGGTGTGGGGAAGGATGCACTCGTGAACAAATGCAATTATATGCTTGCGGAGGAAGTGGGCCATATACCCAATTCGGTTGAATGGAAAGTGCGAAGTTGATTGTCTTAAGAAAGGGTATGTTGGATGTGACCAAAAAAAAAGGAAACCACTTTTTGTGTGCAGCGCATTTCTCCCTTCGGCCATTTTGCACTTTCGCAATTTGGATTTTCTTTTCAGCTTTTATTTTCCGCTTCAGTTATACTGAACATTTTTTCCAAACCGTTCGTTCTTTTGCAGGCCCTTTAACTTCACCCCTCGTCAACAATTAATTGAAACATTCATAGCGCCAAATGAGAAAATTAAGAAATTCACCAGGTTGAAATTTTGCCAAATCGCTAGAGTGCCACGTCCTTCACATCGCAGGAAGCGTAGCATTCAGCGCTGTTCGTATGTATATGCAGGAAAAGTGTTTGTATTTTTCATGTCGCCCTGTTGACGAAGTGGTACATCAAGAATTGACTGACGAACAGATTCGCATACAATACAAGCAGTTAAAAGTGTGGCGCTTAAGTGGGTAATCGGTTTTATAGCTTCCACCTGTTCACTACATTTTTGGTTTTCTCACTTGGCGTGGTTTGCAACAGCCTGTTTATACGTGCCTCAGAACTTTCGTGTGCATGTATAAGCAGGTGGCGCGCGTCTTTTATGCGAGGCGGCGGCGAGCATTTTTAAGGAGCCTCAGCCGTTGTATGAAAATTACAAACACGAAGTAGTTGTGCGCATATCTGTTCATTTATCTGCTCATTTGTCTCTTCATTTGTCTCTTCATTTGTCTGTTCAAATATCTGTTCACTTACATGTTCGCAGTTTCGCGCCAGTGGGTGGGCACGTACGCCCACGCTCAGGCACGCGGGTGTACAAATTTGCAGAAACGTATGAACAAAAGAAAAAAAAAAAAAAAATGGCACACATGAGTGGGAAATAGCTAGCTATAACCACTATTGCTATTATTATTATTATTTTGTATATTTTTTTTTACCTGCCCATTTTTGTACAATTACGCTTGTTCACAAATGACCAGTTGGAAAGAAAAATTCTCTGCTCACTTTCGGTAGCAGTTGCTTCCCATTTGGAAAATTCTGTTTTCCTCTTTAGCTTGTTGCGCATTTATTTTTACAGTAATTGAATGGACGGGAGGTGGATTTTTTGCGTGTTGTGTAGGCATTTGTAAGGGGAAACATCCAAGTGCGCTTTGGCACATGATCATACGCAAATGAATACACAAACCAAACGCATTATATATTTACACACCCATTCAGAACATGCACTCCTGCGCGTGTGAACAAGCATATATATATACTTAGATACTCACATACATGCTTACATACACACTTGCACAAACGTATAGCCACCCCGCACAAGTGTACCCCTGCGAATGCCCATTTTGTATACTCCCTTAAATACACATGAGTACGGGTACACGTCCGTACTTGCTACCCATGCGCCCGGCTTCTCCCCCCCGCCTCTGTCCTTTTGCGACGGCCGTTGCATAGTTGTTCACGAATTATTCGGCCTTTTTTTTTATTCCGCTTTGAATGTGTGTTTGTTCTATATGTGATATGTGCCCCCCTTAACTCCTTCTCACGTTTTCAAATGGCTGCATTTTAGTTTCTCTTTTTTTTTTTTTTCCTTAAATGTGTTTTTCTTTTGTGTGCATTTTACTTTCCCCCATTTTGGTTACGACCCTTTTAATTTCTTTTTTTTTTTATTTCATTTTTTATTTCCTTTAATTTTTTTGTTTTACCTTTTCTTTTTCTTCCTGCATCGGCATTTTGACACTGGGCCATTTGGTTACATCGTTACTAATTTATTTAATTGTTTATTTGTTTACTTTTCTTTCTTTTACATTTTACTTTTTTTTCATTTCGGTTACGATTCTGTTATGCGTGTCCACCATTTTTTACCTTCTGTTCACGCTTTGTTACCTGTTTTATTTTATTTTATTTTTTTTGCCACACTTACCCCTTTTTAGTGTCATTTTTATTTTTTTAATTTTTGTTTTAGACTTTCTTTTGTGAGCATTACACTTTGGAAATTCGTTTTGTCGAAACTTTTAAGGGAATTTGAATTCGTGTGTCCAGCGCGTTGTGCCGCGTCCCTTGCAATTCACACGGTACACAGCGTGTTACGCTACGCGTTTCACAAGTCCCGGAGGAGGACGAAATATTCATAAGCACCTCTTTTTAAAGAACACCGCGCGTAGTGAACAAGTGAATTAAAGTAAAAAGATTTTTTTTTTTTTTGCCCATTTTTTAAAATCGTTTTTGTAATGTAAGCACAGTTTGCGCCTGTTGCGCACACTTCGTAAGAACAAAGCTGAGGCAGCAAAAATTGAAGCAACAGAACAAACGAAAATTTGAAAAGCCGTGGCAGCAGGGCCATAAGCTAAGTAAGCAATCAGTCCTATAAATAAGGCTGCCGAATTTTTTACCTATTTGTATCTACATCATAGGGTGGAGGAAAAGAAAAATAATTAAATAAAAAAAAAAAAATTAAAAAGTTGTGCAGGGTCCACTTGAAGGAGCCCCTTCCCCGCTGTCTGCCTCCCTCACACGTGAGTGAAAGCAGCATCGTTTTTGCAAAACCGAGGCATATGCCAATACGTGGAGGCCCACCCAACACGCACTCCTCCGCAAACGAGCCTGCACGCACATATCCACAGCTTTCCGAGTGTACGAAATTTATTTTGAAAGACAAGCCAAAACGGCCCAAATGGAGAACATGAGAAACTTTCAAAGGGGCGGGGACCAAATCAGTTATAACTACTTGGACAATTTACAGATAAACGAAATGAGAAATGCACAGAATGAAAACAGCCCCGTGCACACAGCGGACGTAAACTTCTGCAAAGAACACATTACCAGATCGAGCAACACCCAAATGGTGCGAGTCGAAAACAGAGGACATAACAAACCGTATATATACAAGAAGTTAATCGTTTTTGATTATGATGATACGATATTGCCAACTAGCTGGATAACTGCAAAGATGAAGCTAGGCTTGAATGACAACATCCCAGCATCCGTAAGACAATTCTTTTTTAAGTTAAGTGAAGTTGTAATTAAAACCTTGAGTCTATGCTTGACACAAGGAAAATTGGTTATAGTAACCAATGCAAGCTTAGAGTGGTTAATTAACTCAGCGCGTAAGTTTATCCCATTAGTATGGTCATATATTATTCTCAACAATATAAGAATTATATCCGCAAGGGATAGATTAATTAATTCTTTAATTGATCCGAAGGATTGGAAGAAAGTCATATTTCATCAAATCATAAATGAAATTTTAGCCCCGTACCTGTGCAACAAATCAGTTATATGTTTCATTTACTCTGTGGGTGATGGAAATGATGAGAGAAACGCTTGCTTCTTCATTTCACAACTGAATCAGTATTCTTCTTGTATTTTTAAGTCATTGAAATTTTTGTCCGAACCGTCATGTCAGAAGTTGATAGCTGAGCATGAGCTCTTTTATTATTTTTTTAACAGCACATGTAACCCGTCTGAGGCAAGATGTACCTCTATTAAGCCCCTGGCGTCTCCGCCCCCCGAGAGCAGCGGTGTTGTTTTGAGCACCTCGGTACCGAAGAGTTGCAAGTCGCTGCAAAATGTGTGATTTGTGCGACATTCACAAGGTGGGCTAAGAAATAAAAAATTGGAAGAAAAGAAGAACGAATGGATGGGTTGCTGGATGGATAGATAGATAAACGAATCTCACACAGGCCTTCACCATCGTCAAGTCTCGCAAATGGCAGGCCTTTTGAACCCTTGGAAAAAATGCGCCCAGGGATGCATCGAAGGAAGGCATTATTGTGGAATAGACAAGTTTGGAGCATCCCTCGCATCAGACAACACGAATGCGTACTGCTAACATGTTGCAAGTGCGTCGTTGATATATTACCCATAGGAGCTCCCCAAACCCTCGCGCGCGCTGTGCGTTTACACCGTATGGCCCATCTCATGTGCACTATTACCATCGCTTCCATTGCTGCTATGGATACTATCGCTACTGTTGTCACCTTTATTTTTTAATTCTTCGTCAATTTTTTTCTTTTCCTTTTAATGAAAATTTTGAATAGAGAATCGTCCGCACCCCAGCTGCTCCACATCCACAGAGCACGTTCTCGCATGAATGTGTACGAAATGGCACGGTGCGGAACGTATAGTGTACAGCGCGTGTACATCAGGAAAACACACCGTCGTGTCACTTTAGCGCCATTTTTTTTTGACCGAAGTTTATCCTATGGTTTTCCTACCGCAGTTATGGTTCTGTTTTAATTTTTTTAGTAATTTTTTTACTCCCTATTTTTTTATTTTTTAAATCATACCATAAGTGCATACCTGTGATCTCCATAGTTTTTATGTAACATATTAAAAATTTTCCTTCCCTTTTTCTTTCCCATCTTTATTCTTAATTACAGTATTGTTCCTGTAAAAAAAATAGAAATGTCTCTTCCTTTCTTTGCTGTTGTTTTTTTTCCAAGTTGTAAGGGATACCTCAGACTGTAGAATATATTCCCGTATTGGCTAGCTATATTTTTTTTCTTTTTTTTTCTTTTTGCGAATTTGGGAAAAGTTACCAGAACGTTCATGTAAAAAACTTGTTTAAAAAAGGGAAGCACTTTTACATGAATTTCTGTACACCAGCAGAGTACCAAGATGGAGTGATGGGTTAGGGTCCCATCATAAGTGTAGTTGAGTGAACAGCCTGCTGAAAGCAATTCGAACGATTTTGTTTGCTTCTTCCTTTGACATGGTGAAGAAAGAACAATGTTGTATGGTGTATGTTTTGTGTTGTATGCACGTGTTTGTAGTGCGAAGTAGAGGAACAGCGGCGGTATAACTTTCCACACGCGACAGTCCTGCTCTGGCATAGCAACAGTTGTTTCGCGCGTGCATCTCTAGCAGAGGTGGGGAGGGCTAATCAACAAGATATGATAAAAAAGAGTAAATATATAGCCGCTTCAAAGAGCATTCCCTTTTTCTTTTTTAAGTTACCCATTTGGCAGCATCGTAGCGAGATGTTCAAGTGAATACACGTATGTAGTGGAAAATCGTTCGAATTTTTTGTCTCGCTCTTTCTGTTCTATATTGTATTATCTTCTTTTGAGAGTTTCCATTAGAGGAGCGAGATGAACGCACCAGGTGTGGACGTGCGCAATGGCAAGGCTGTCCAAGGGGACATATGCAGCAATAGGTATTCCTTAATATCCAAGCAGGTACTTCTTCATATGATACGTGCTGAGTGTCTAACATGAGTAACATTCGTGTGGGTATCTCACCGCGCGTTACGCCTCTATTGCTGGTCATTTGTTATTTGTCACTTGTCATTTTTTTTTTCTTTCCCTTTTGTCTACCTCCCCAATAATAGACCCTTAACCAGAAGGAGAATACCCTATGGAAGTAAAAAAAAATAAAAAAGCAACTCACAATGAGTTCTCTCATAAATGCATACACATGCATCCCATCGAAAGAAATAATGGTCTCCCACTTTTGCGTCATACAACCCTCCTCCTTCCCCCTTTGCAGCATCTTAAACTACGGCCGTGTCCCAAATGAGGGCCTGAATGAAATAACCATCATGAACATTTTGCACCAGATATCTTCTCAAAATTTGTGCGTAAAAGAAAAGAAAAAAAAAAAGATCATTTCCTTCCCGATGCGATGCTGTAGAAACGTGGGAACATAGAACTCATTTTCGCCCTATTTCCTTCCTCAGATGCAACAGCGAGAAGAACATAAAAATTGGGGAGCGGGAGAATCGAATATACAGCGCCCTCGTGCGGAACAAGTACATCGGATTCGGGCACGGCATTGGCAGGTGAGCAGCCCGCCCCCTCCTCCCCCCCACACAGACACAGGAACACACATACATTCATATGTGTGTGTACGGATCTATACGCCTATGTACACTTCTGAAACTAATTATGCCCCTTACGCAGGTCAGGGAACCTAGACGACGTGCAGCCGAAAAGCGCGGGAAACAGTATCTTGGCCAAGGCCACCACGAGCTTCGTAAAGGATATGATCAAAAGCTTTGGAATAAAGAGCTGCGAAGATGTATACATACTGCCATACGCAACAGGGATGTGTCTAAGTACCTGCATCCTCTACACGAAAAAGGAAAGAGAAAAAAGTGAATATGTAATAGTCTCTAGAATAGACCACAAGACGTGCTACAAATGCATCGATTTCTGTGCTTTGAAATATTTAGTAGTGGACATGATATACAAGGATGAAGAATTATTTACAAATCTCAGCGAAATAGAAAAACTGATACAGACATATGATGAGAAAATCTGTTGTGTCATGTCAGTCACATCTAGTTATGCCCCTAGAAATTCAGATGACATAGTAAAAATAGCCCATATTTGCAAGAGGTATAATATTCCACACATAATTAATAATGCGTTCGGATTACAATGCAATTATCTGTGTAAAGAAATACAGAAGTGTTTTGAATCGAAGGGTCGAGTGGACTTCGTGGTTCAGAGTTGTGATAAGAATTTCCTCTTGCCAGTTAACGGCGGGATTGTATTCAGCTCTGATAAGAGAAAGATGAAAGAATTGAAAAAACATTACCCTGGTAGGACTCCTGTGCATGCATATTTAGATCTCTTCATCACATTACTAGAATTAGGGAAGAAAAAAATTCTAACCCTAAGAAAAGAAAGGGAGGAAAATTTTTCCTGGTTACAAGAAAAGTGTTCTGCTCTCTGTTCTAAGTACAATTTAAGTTTGATCAAAGCGAGCAAAAATAAAATATCCATGGCGATTAATTTAAACGAGCTTTACAAGATCTGCCATGTCGAAAACCCGAAGAGTATTACCCTACTTGGTTCTCTACTTTTTTATAGAAATGTTACCGGGCATAGGGTTATATGCTCCCCGCTGTTGATACGAAATGGAGCAGGGGCACACACATGGGGCCAGAAAATGGAGGGTAATGTAGAATCTGCTTTTCCTATTCACCACAAGGGGGAAGTAGGCCCTAATGGGGTTGACACTATTGAGCAGGGTGCACACACCAATGAGTTGCTTTTCCTCAATCGCGGAATGAACAACGAAGGTGCACGTCCGTTCCATTCGTCAGACAACTGCAATGAGGGGTCTGTAAAGAAGGGGAGGTCCGAAACAATTGTCGTAAAAAATGAAAATATTAATCATGCAGCGATTCATGGGAAGGCCCTAACCATTGGAAATCACACATTTGAGCACTTTGGTTGCAGCTACGATTTGTATCCCTTTTCTTACATTGCCTTCTCCTGCGTCATTGGGATTGAACGGCCAGAGATGCAAAGCTTCGTGGAGAAGTTGGACGACGCGATTGGCTGCTTCATTCGCAGGTTCCTCAGGCGCGCCTAGCCCAATTGCGCAATAATTTTCATCATTGTGAATAGCATCCCGACACGGGGGGGATGAGCGGGCCTCTGCCTTGCAGAAGACGGCCCCCTACTGCCGTCTCTCAAACAGTAGCTATTTCGAAAACCACGCCTTCGTGGGTCTTAAAAAGCTGAACAAAAAAAAAATGGGTAAAACGGTCGAAGCACATAGGCATACATAGGTACACTTGAATACACAGAGAGGTGCACTCTTCCCACAGTTACAGGTGCCGCTGCAAGTGATGCACAGCTCCGCGACGAATGCAGTTAAACAACAAACACGTTGGTGGTGAAATGGGGAAGTTGGGTGTGTGTCGATGTGGATACCACCTTGGGGCAAACAACAAAAAAAAGGAAAAAAAAAGGCGAAAAGAAGCAAGGCGAAAAAAGAAAGATGAAAATGAAAAGGGTGAAATAAAAACCCTTGCAGTGTGTAGCTCTACTGCCATAACGGTTGGAAGAAGACGCGTCTGCCACTTCTACACACATCAGGCGAACTAACTCTGTACCCTCCGGGCCTCCCTCAAAAGGCCTTTATTATAATTTTATTTATTTGGATAAAATTTGCTGGCATCTCCTTTTCATCGGGGTTCGTTTTCTTTGGGTAGATGAAAGCCACTCTGCAGGAGTATTGGCTTTTAAAAAAGAAGATTTCTCCAACGGGAAGGGACACATCTGCTCCTTCTTCCGATCCGATTGACTTATTATCCTTTGAGTTGTCGTCTTCCTTCCAGAATAAATACCACTTGGCCTTTTCCTTCTTTTTTTCCTTTTGCTTTTCCATCCCCGCTTTGTTGGCCTGCTTGGGCGCGTATTTTTCTGTCCGTTCGCACCTGAGTCCTCCTCCGAAGAAGTCCTCGGGGATGCTGAAGAAGAGAGGTGGGCGTGAAAATGGTCGGCTGCTTCGCATGGGCGGACATATAAGTACATGCATACATATGTGGATACAGACGTGCATACATACATGGACACATACGTGCATACATATACGTACAAACAGACGCGCATTAATATTATTCTCCCAACAGTTGGGGGACACGTTCACGCGGAAATGCCTCCATCGTTGCGAATAAACGCAGACGAGAAAGAGGTGGCGCGTGTGGTGGGTTCAGAATTACTCCTGGTCCGTCATAGTGAGTCTCTCTACGGGGACTGGCCTGAGGCCCTCTTTTAGGTCATGAAAAAAAGGCTTCATCTTTTCAACCTGCGCACGGGGGTAGCTGTTGCCCCTTCCGAAGAGGAACGTCACTTGGACGCGGTTTAGGAGCTTGTACACGTCAGTGCTTCTGCAAGGGGAGGTGGGACAAGGAATCAGAAGGTGATGATTTGGAAGAGTCGATCCATGAGGAGGTGTTCTCACCATACAAGGTTTTTCAACAGGGCACTATCTCTTCTCCGATTTCATCGAGGAGGACATTCAACTGCAGCAGTGGTCTCCTTACAGCAAAACGTGCGTATCCGGCTTCTGCGTCGACACGAAGTTCCAATTTAGAAAGAACTTCCCCTCCGCGGAGAAAACTGCAGGGGAGTTCTGCCCCATCCAATGAGAGGTAGTAGATCCATCGAGCACTACCGAACTGTGAAAGACATTGTCCCGATTCTTTAAAACCCCTCTTGGAAGAATATTATTCTTTTCTTCAGTATTTGATTCCATGAGGACAAAAAAAGCTGGCTTTGGCATTTTCAATTTGGATGTGCTTATAAAGTAAACGACACTAATGAGAGCAAACATGGTATTAACTAGACTCCACATTTTGGTTTTTTTATGTTCATTTGGGGTGATGCAGAATACGATGGAGCCAATAATCCAGAGGATAGGAAATTTACACACTAACCCTAAGAAGAAGAGAACTTGAAGACAACTAGGATCATCGTTTTCGTCTTCGGGGTGAACGGAACGTTCGTCTGCTTCCTCCCGTTCGTTCGTAGTCTGATGAGGTGTTGCCAACTGCGTGTTCGCTTCACGCACTCGTTCCAGCCAGTAGCTTTTTATTTTTTCCTTTACGTAGGATATATTTTCCTTGACGTAGGTAGCTATTCTGTTGGAGACATTGCTGTAGCTAAAACGGTGGGTTCTACGGCCATCGTCGCTACCTCTACCATTGTGGCTACCTCCACCACGCTCCAATGCTTCCTCATCAGATGTGGTGTCATTCGTCCCGGAATCCGGCCTTTCCATTATAATGATCCCATTTTCTACATTACTAAAAATTTCATTTATTTCGGAGGGACTGGCGTTGATGAGACCCGAGCTGTTTAAGAGGTCATTCGGGTTCAGTCCATTCAGGTTTAGTCCGTTCAGGGTAATCATCTCGTTGGTCCGGGTGCTTCCATGCCGGTAAGCATCTACTCTGTCTTCTCCCCGCCTTCCTGTCTGACTAGTGCCGTGCCCCTGCATTATGAACGTATCTTCGTCCTCTACAAGCTGCACTATGTTGTTAGGGCCACTCGGGTCAATTCCATTGCTACCCACAATGGTCAGTTCGCACATGTCGCTATCCACCACGTTTTCATTCGTTATGGGTTGCCCCCTCCTGTCAACAAAAGCTTTCCTTATTTTGTAGAGCAGCTTGGAAAAAATGTTCACTTCACTGCTGCTGGCGCTTGGTGGATCGGCGCTGCTCACTTCGTGCGGGTCTGCGCCGCTTACTTCGTGGGGGTCGCCACTGCTCACATCGTGCATATCGCCACTCCCCACATTGTGCATATCGCCACTCCCCAAATCGTGCATATCAGCACTGCTCACATTATAAATGGGGTCCACTACGGGCAGCACAACTTTTACCCTCCCGTTTCTCCCACCACGGTCCTGACTACTGTGACGGTGTCCCTGAGGCCGCTCCTCGTAGTTTCCATTCCGTGGTGAGTTCGAAATTTGGGGAGTATGGACCATATCGAATGGTGCGTCTTCTCTTCTACTCTTGCGGGTGGCCTCCCTATGATGGAGAGGCCGGGATGGAGCTGTCGTGGCTTCCAGCTTCCCGTTGCTTTTCTCCCCTTGGAGTAGCAGCACTTGGTGCTCGCTATCACTGTTGTGGCTGTCGCCGTCTTGGCTACCACGGTTGCCACTGCGGTTGCTACTGTGGTTTCTATGCTTTTCCCGTTTTCTCGTTTTCTCCCTCCTTATTTTTAGCAAACAATCGACGTCACGTTTCTGGGAGTCTATGCAACCCCTGCGTTGAGGGTCTTGTCCATCCTGGGCCCTATTGTTCCTGCCCCACTCGTCACTTGAAGCATCCCCGTTAAAATCCCCTACTCTTTGGACATCCTCTATGTGCACTTTTTTTCTTTTGGTTTCCTTTTTTTTCTTACTGGGTTTCTTTGTCGATTTGTTGTCCTCATTCTGTGAGTAGTTCACTTCCGTTATTACGGAATATGTGTGTTTTTTTTTTTTTTTTTTTTTTTTTTTCTTTTCATTTTCAAAGGTACCCTCGTTGCTGCTTTCTCGTTGTGAGCCGTCGTCCATATTGGCACTTTCGAGTTTGAAGTTGTGGGGAAACAGGAGTGGCGATGGTGGTGGTCGGGGAATTTTCTGCAGAATCAACGTCACCAGTAAGCGCTATGGCACAGTGTTACTTGCTGGTGAGACTCGTCCATCTACTAGTCAGAAGAACCACAGACGAATAGCGGCCACCTTAGCCGTCACTGAACGGATTAAGTGGGGAAACAATAACAGTTTTTGACATTAGTGATATGCGTGGCAAACGTTGAAGAAAGGAACTGCCAGAAGTGGCTTAACTGCCCCCCTCTCCCTGTTCATTCTCCCCATCAGCTGCTCCGGCAATGACAGTATACTTGAGCATACGACTGGGTAGCAAACTTTCTCGCGTCAGAAGGGTTAGCACTGTGGTCATATACACCTACGTGTATGTAAATGTAAAAAATGCACTTGCATATTTTCCCTTTTTTTATTTTTATTTTTTCTTTTAACGATTGTGTTAACTCTGCCCCATGCTCTTTTGCTTCTCGTCACTCTGCGTTATGTTGTGACATGCTATGCCAGTTTTTTTTTTTTTTTTTTTTTTTTTTTTCTTTTTCGCCACCTGAGAATTTTTCGCGCATCCTCAATTTCCTCAGGGCGCTCGCATGTGGCCACGTAGGGGGGAAAATACAGCAGGATTTTACGAATGCGCCAACACGTGTGGTGGACTTTCTTTTTTTAAAGAAGCGTACGATGTGTAGCAACGGGGGAAGTGGACAAAAGAGGGAAAAAAAAGATAATAAAATCCAAAAAGGAAGAAATAAAAGGCATAAAATAGGCTGAATGGTGAGCTGTCCGAACCCTTTGTCGTTTATCCATCCCCCACTGAGTCCCCCTAAATTTGTAGAGGCCACAAGTAGAACCACCACAATGAGCCATTCGTTACAGTCGTTGGAAGGATGGAATTGCTCCTTTTCACAACAAGGTCGCGTATACTCGCGTATTGCATTGGCGTATGATATACAACACGGGAAAGACAAATCGCCAAGGGTGGTTGGAGAAAGGGGAAGTACCCCACAGGACTGTCACTGGGGGCTTATGGCAGTTGGTTCTCCGTTCATCGTGCAGCCATAGCAACCTATTCAAAGGGTACATTTGTGCATTCCGGTGTGTAAAGGTTCTTACGCGCCTTTAGCAGTGTGATGGAACGGCACCGTTACGCCGTCTCTCTTTAACACCAGCTCATTTGGCCAAAAGGAATAGTCCTTTTATTTCATGATTAGCCATTTTTTTCTTTTGCAAACATTTGGTTAAGAGTCTTCCTGTTTTTTACGTCCGATGGAAGAGGCCCCCTCATGTGCAACTACCTCTTTTTCTTTTTGCGAGTTTCTCCAAACTATTTATCGCACCATTTGGAGAAGAGCTGTCCACAGATGGATGCCATTTGAACGCAAAAATTTGAAAAGCAGTTAAGTGGGCGTCACTTTTCTCCCTACTTAAGGAGGGAGCAGTTTGGGGGAGCTGACTCAGGGGACATTCACCCGAGGTGCCTCCCCGGTGATGCTCTTACTGTACAATTTTAATTTTATAATTTTTGGTTTTCTCCCGTAAGACACCCCCGGGCTTCAGTTTTGTCACTTTCGCATGATTCATAGCGAAACATCAGATGAAAACGACGGAGGGATGGACGTAAGAAGCGGAAGGTGCAACTAAAGAGAGGTAAAATTAATGGGCTATTAAAGCAGACAAAAAAAAAAAATATAATGGTTATTCTTTCCTCTGCGAAAGAGACACTACTCATGCAGTGCAAACCATTTTGCAGAGGCGTGCATGAAAAATGCCACTAACAGTTATTCACTACGTTTTTGCTGTGTGTGATAGACGAGTGGACGACTAATTTGTGCGTCATCTGGGAGGGAGTAGCATAGACAGGTATTCTCCCCAATGGGCTTTACTATTCATCGAAGAAAGGAATATGCCCCTCTCGTTTGGTCCAACTTTCATATGCTGAAAAGCCGCTTGTGTAATGTGCGTTACTTTTTCGCTTCTGCCTTTTTTGTCCTCGCCTTTTTCGTGGTTTCTTTTTTTTCTTTCGCTTTGGCCCTGCGTGGGTGAAGGAATATGCATAATTGAAGGGGGCAGTTTCTCCGAGAGAAGAAGATTTCACCTCTCATCACGCCAGGCTCTATGGCCAAACGGAGGAATGGAAGAAGGGACCGAAACTCAACGGCCGAGTTCTTCTCCTGTGAACTTACTTAAGGGGGAGGTGCGTTGCACGCTGAATCAAAATGGCAATTACTATCACGGATAAGACTGCAGCACCGGTCAGGACAAATAGCAACGTGTTGCATTTGCTTCGACTGAAGCAGCGTCCCTGTGGGAAGGAGTGTTTTGCGATTTAATTTTTACGCTTTAAATTTTAATTTTTTCCTTTCTTTTTTTTGCCACAAAAGTATGCTCCCTTTGTGCTCGTGGCAGCGACTCCGTTGGGATATTTTTTTCTGAACTTTGCCTTCTCTCCATTTTTCTTTTTCTTTTTTTGGCTTACAAAAAGAGAGCAGTGGCAAAGGGATCCATCCTCGCTGTTACTGAGAATTGTGGCCTGTGAATGGGACAGAAAGAAAGTGACAACGTTAGGGGTTTCCATAACAGGGGGAAATGGCAAAATGGGGGTTTGCCTCCCTGGTGATGCGTTACACATCGCTTAGACAGAGAGGAAGGAGTAAGGCCAACCGAGTTGTAAGTCACTCGTGTACTGATAGAACTCACCATCGAAATGTTTTTGCTTGGTTCTGCATTTAGTCCTCTCATACATGTGTATATGGAAAGAAGTGAAGGAAAAAAGGAAAGAAAAAAAAGATGAGTCGTTAGTCAAATTGTGTGGTTATTATTTCGTGGCTCATGTGAAGATGAAGGGTAGTGGCATCTACTCTGCCTTTTTTTTTCTTTTCCCCATTTTTCTCTGTTACTATGGATGGCCTTCTTCCGGTTCACGTTCAACCCTCCGTACACATCGAAAAGGAAGAAAAGATAAACTGCAAAAATGGGAAGAAAAATCAAATGTGTGTGGATGGGGAATCTATAGAATAGCCCATCTCATTAGCCGCGTCAATTTTATCCCTTTTAAATTTACCAACGAGCAGGTGGAAGCAGTGTTTCGTGAAGTTCATCCTGTTTTAATTTTTTTTTTACTACAACTGTGGTTGGAAAGGAAGTCTAGTTCTGTTCATCAGCTGGGTTAAGAGGCAAACAGGTCACTTGGTTTTATTTTTTTTTTTTTCTAAAAATTTAAGCTGAAGAATGTTCCTAACAATACAGCCAAATTTAAACCTTTGGAATTTTTTACACTTTGCAAAAATATGAATTGTCATGGGGCACGTTTTTCCTTTCTATCTGTTTTTGATCTGTGTAGCGCTCTTAATGCTCTTATCTTAGTGTTTTTTTTTTTTTCTTTTCCTCCATCTTGGAAGAACAAATCTTGTGTCCTTGCCAGTTAGAAGCACAGATCATTTTTCTATTCCCCATGAACCTGCTTCCATTTTGGGAGTAGAGAAAAAAATGGGTTGTGTGGAAATTAACGAGCAAAGTGGAGAACCGATTGGGATATAAAACAACTTCCTTTTTTTTCTTTTCTTTTCTAAGTTTTGTAAAATGGGGTGAAAAGGTACAGAAGCACACAGAGAGGTCATTTTTTTTTTTTTTTTTTTTCGGAGCTTATTTACGACATGGCCTTCCTTGTAGGTATCACCAGAAGAGCACCTCGCAGGTGGGCGGTTGTAATTTTTTTTTTTCCTTCCTTTTTTTCTTTTATCCAAAATTGGAGGAACTTTACGAAAAAAGCGAGGAAGCAGAGTTGGAATGAGAATTCAACGGCACATTGAGGATTGATCAATCCTGTGGGATTTTCTCACTTCACATTTTAATCCACCTCTTTTTCATTTTTTGCACAAAATGGGAATTACAGAATGTGAAACACACTTTGCGCCTAGCGTTAAGAAAAAAAATTTAATAAGAATGAGGAAACAGCGTACCTACTTTTTTTTTTTTTTTACCTCGAAAAGAGCAAAATTGTTTACTGAGCCGTTCTGTCATCTAGTCGAGAGATTACAACATTCACGAAATGGAAAAAAATGAAAAGGAAAAAAGAAAAAAAAAAAAGTTACCGCATTGCGCAGCTACGTCAGTCGCTATTTCTGTTCCCACTCGTCGTAGGGTGAATCCCCTCCACCCTCTGTAGCAACTCAGAACATGCGGGTAAAAATATTTACACACGGATGCGGGCGGAATTTTGCTCTTTTTCTCCCCCCCTTTGGTAATATACTTCAGTTGTGAAGAAGAAGGAGTTCGCTTTACCTACCCCTTAGCACAAGTTCAAGTGTAACACGATTGGTTAATTTTTTTTTTTTTTTATTGTTGTTCGCTCCGTCCTTGGGTGAAATGGCCCTTTCGCTCTCCTCTCCTGTTAGGAAAGATAGATCAGTTCATCCCAGTCGGGATAAATAACAACAGCAGGTGGGGTGGAGGTGTAATAAAGTTGCCCTCAAAAATGCTCTCATGAGGGCCCATTTAGGGCGAGAGGCGCCAACGGCAGCTGGCTCTGACTATTGCGAAGCTTTAAAGGTCCTCTTTCGGCTTCTCCAGCGTGGGGGCCAGGACCTCGGGAAAGGGGTCCAATGCCGCTGCGAGGGGGGGAAAGAAATGCAAACCAATGCATGTGTGTAGCGAATAAGCTGTCACTCGGTTGACGGAAGTTACTCCCCGAAGGCACTTTTCCTGTTGACTTTATTACCCGTGTATTTCCACTTGTCCACAATCTCTTTCTTCTGTCTGTCGCTGAAGTATTCTATGTTTATTCTTAGAGAGAGGAAAAAAAGTGGGGGTGGCGCAGGTAATATATGGATCCGATTCAGTCCGTACAGTTGGATCAGTCTGCTCATTCGCGCATCTGCGGCGTCTCCTCAGCCTGACTTACTTCTCCTTTTCTCCAGTTAAGTACTCTACTTCTATCATGGGTGGGTTTTCATAGCTTCATGGGGGGGAAGGGT